AGTTAAAACAGAGGTGGGGAAAAAGGAGATTACTGAAAAGAATTATGATAACTTTTTTTTTCAATATGGAGGAGGCATAGCTTTTATTGGTATAACCAAAGATTAGCCAACACACACACAAAAAAATTGTCCTTATTTTTAGTTACTGCTCTGTAAGCCCTGCTGTTCAACTATCCTAAAGCCAAAAGTCATCATTTCCGGCAGCCTTCATTGATCCTAATTGCCTTATGGTTAATGAGCCACTAAAATGAGTTAACTTATTCAGTTCCTAGACACCTATATTGCAAACAATTTGTCTTCGATGGTACACCAGAAATAGACTAGATTATTTTTTTGTTTGTATTGTTGTTAACTGTTAGAGATCCTGCAACTCAAAATTCAGCCCATTACTTGCAAATACTCAAGATTTAATATTTCAAGTACTGATCTTAACCTTGTGTCAACTGTTCACCATGTTTTGTTTTTCTTCATTTCACTTTTTCATCTGTATCTTATTTTCTGCCTTTATATTGTATATATTTTTGGAGGTTGACATAAATCCTTTTAAAACAAGTTGTTTCTTATATATAAATAAAAGCCTCTCAACTATGTCTTAAATGAATGAGTAAATAAACAACTATACTTCATCCTTTTTTCTCCCTTTCTTTCCCTTTCTCCCTCCTTTTCTTTCTTTCTCTTTCTTTCTTTCTTTCTTTCTTTCTTTCTCTCTCTCTTTCTCTTTCTCTTTCTCTTTTTCCCTTCCTTCTTCCCTTCTTCCTTCCTTCCTTCTTTCCTCCTTTCCTTTATTCTCTACTAAGGACACTGAGGAAATCTTAGGAATATTCATTATTTAAGATAAGAGACATAAAGAGGAGAAGCATAAAACAAGTCACAACAATATGCAAGTATTAAGATCTTCCACATTCTTTAAGACAAAAATAAAAAAGGAGATTTTCCTAACTTTCAATTTTCTTTAAAGTTGTGGAAACCTGCATTTCCCTCAGTTCCTCAAGTATGATTGCTTCAACTTATGTAGAACTTTTCCAGATTCTACCCTCTGAGTTTCCTAAACAAGTAGACAGAAATTATTTCAAGTTACTTAGTATCTCAAATTACACACAGTATCTCAAATTACACACAGTATCTCAAAATACTTAGCTGATTGTTTTAATGAACATATAGAGTTGTTTTTATAGTAACTGCTACATGACTAAAAGGAATCATTCACTGTCCCTTACTACTATGTTGTGTGTGGATACCTGTCTGTGGCCATCTACAAAAAGGAATCATTTGCCCCTATACTAAAATTGGCAAGAATGGAGGGATTTGAAAGAGTGAGTATAAGAGAACTCAAATTTTCCTCTGTTGTACAATGAAAGCTTCATATCTAAAATCAACAAAAGAAAGAAGCATACTCACATTATTCAGAAGGCCAAAGAACTGAAAGTGGTTTTCTTTGGGGCAGAATGGGGTTGGGATAGGGATACCATTAGGGCACTGACAGTTTTTGTGTAAGACTTTATTATTTTTTAGGTATTATTTACGTGTACTACCATAATAAAAGTTAAATTTTAAAGTATCATTAATAGCTACCCTTATTCCTAAAAATAGTCTGAAACCCAAAGGAGAGCATGAAAGACCTGTCATCTATAGCAACCTCCACTTACTGTTCCAGCCCTGCTCCTTGACCCCTTACCCCTTCCTTCTAAGCTCCAACTATACTGAGCTTTTTTCACCTCCTCTTAGTAGATGATGACTTTGCTCACCTCGGTGACTTTCCTTGAGCCATTGTTTCTGCCTAAAACTGTCTTCTCCTCCTCTTCCTTTCCCAGCCTTCTCTTGGCTGTGCTTCTGGAAGCTTTTCCTCTCCCATCACATCTGGGTTAAACATGCTTCCTATTTACTCACTTCCTTAGCATGCTGAATTTTCCCCTACCACAGCATGTATCTTCTATTATACCTTCCTGACTTATCTGCCCCCTCATCTACAGTGTAAGCACAGTGAGAAGGAGAACCTCATCTTTCGTGTTTATTGTCCTAAATTCAGCACCCAGTGAGATATTTATTTCAAAGTGGATGCTCAACACATACCTAGAATAATGCCTGACACCTAGTAGACACAACAATAAGTTTGAAAGACAGGAAGAAAGGAAGAGAGGGAGGGAGAGAGAGAAAGAGAAAGAAACAAAGAAAGTTTGGACTTTTAGATTCATGTTAATTGAACTTAAGGCAAAATGATAAAGTATAGAGAATTTAAATTTAGTATCCTTTTTTTTCCCTGTTCCCTTATTTAATTGCTCACTATAGACACTCAAACCCAGTGTTTTCCCATCACCAACTGTGACAAATGAAAGTGGCTTCTCTGACAGAATTAGGTAGGTGGTAGGTTCCATAGGCATTTGGAGATCCTTGATGGAGTTAAAAATTTTTTAGAGTTTATATGAACAAAAATCGACTTGAATCGGGCAGAATCCAATCTAGCAAATAGACAGGAGCTCCGAGGAGCTATATAAAATGAAGGGCTTTTATAGGCAGAAGGCAGCGTGAACAAGGAAATCATACTGGGCAGAAAAAAGCGGGTTGGTTATTGCAAAATCACTTTCTTTTCGGGGTTGGCAGAGGTCTATCAGGCTGATTACCTAATGGTGCTGATCAGGCGATTTCTGTCTCACTGGTTTAAGATTCCATTTCTGGGGGAGTTGAAACCATAAGTCTCAGTTTGGTGACTTTGGGCTTAACATAGTTTCGGGCTTGTTGTCTTGTTTTTCTGTTTTGTTTTTGGTTTTTGGTTTTTTGGTTTTCTTGAGAGAACACTAGAGTGCAAGTGGGGGAGGGGCAGAGAGAGAGAGAAGACAGAATCCCAAGCAGGCTCTACTCAGCACTCAGCGCTGAGCCTGATGCAGGTCTCAATCTCACAAAGTGAGATCATGGCCCGGGCCAAAATCATGAGTCAGACACTTAACTGACTGAGCCACTCACGCACCATGTTGTCTTGTTTTTAACAAGTGTAAGAATGAGGAAGTGTCTTTGATGGTCAGAACATTCACTGTGGGATTCTAGAGTCTCCATAGGGTTCCAGAGGCTTGTTCCTCTCAGACAAGTCTCCCCCAATATACTCTAATTGGTCTCCTATTTCAGAAGACAGGTTCTCACTAAAGGCATGTGTGAGGCACTTAAACACCCAGATGATGTCTCTGGAGTCCTTTGCCCATAGTTTCTAATGATATGCAAGGTTGTAATCAGACCAACATATCATCCTGAACTTTATCCCAGGAGGTTGTTAGGTGTGTCAGGATGCTCCAGGTGCGAGGAACTGAAAGCCCAAATGAAAGTGGCTTAAACAATAGAATCCTATCATTGCTGCTGCCTCACAGGTCAAGACTAACCACAGGTAGGCAATCTGAGGGTTGGCTCAGCAGTTCAATGATGCCATCAGAGACACTGCTTCTTTTCATCTTCCTATCTTCCCATCCTCAAAGTGTCCGTATATCTCCCACATTAGTCACAGGGTGGCTGCAGCAGGTACAAGCTTTACACCCTCATGTGACAATGTTCCTAAGCAAGAAAGGAAGAAGGAGGACGAGAGCTTACCTCCTGTCTTTCCTTTTGTAAGAAAAACACGTGTTTCTCAGAAACCCTCCAGCAAACTTCCCCCCTTATGTCTTATTGGACAAAACTGGGTTCCATAGGCAACCTGAGCCCCCAGGGGGTCTGTGAAAAGTGAAGCTGGCATTCTCAGTCTCTGTCTTGGAATTGGGCTCTTCTAATAGGCAGGAAGGATGAGCAAAACGTCTGTTGGGTAGGCTGTTAGAATAATAGACACTACTTGAGAGTATTCTAATACTTCATGTGTATTAATCCATCAGATCTTCACAACAAGCCCATGGGGGTAGGTGTAATTGTTACCATTTTACAGAGAAGCAGACTCAACTCGGAGATAGTAACAGAGCAAAGCAGTGAAGCCAAGATTCGAACTCCATTGTCTGGCTCCAGAGGCTGCTCTCCAAACTACACATAACACTGCTCTCAGCCTACAGTGCTTGCCACAGCAGGCAATCCACCAGGCTGCTTCTAAAATCTAACACATAAAAAGTCTGAGCAGTGCCTGTCTCCCTCTGAAGTGCAAATGTGACATTTCCCCTGGCTACAGTCATGTATGGGTGAGAAGACCAGAGAGGCTTCCCAGAGAGACAAGAATTGCTTCCTGTCATCATCAAGGCTGCAATAGCCAGGGCTGTGATCAGGGCAAGGGCTGGGGCCTGGAGAGTCCACTTCGTGGCCAGGGCCACTGATCGAGTCTGTGACCTACTGTGCCACCACCGGTATCAGAAAGCCTGGGCGAGGGAAGGTGAGTGATTGAAGAGTCCACTTCCCACAGGCAGGATTAGAACAGAATAGTTTCTATAAGTTCGAGTAATGTTTTACAGGCCACCTCCACTCTTCATTTTCGAATGTGACGGATGAGTCCCGTACAGAGTGGAGTTATTGTCTAAGAGCACCCAGCTAGTTTATGTAGAATGTGAGACCCAAAATAAAGGCTTTTTTATCAGGCAGACACAGACAACTTGCAGGCATGTCCTCAATGAAGCTGTCTTTGACTTATTCTTGCAAAAAGCATCCCTATACTTCATACATGCTTCTGTTATAATTTCTGTTCTACCTGCCTAGAATCATCGTGAGGATTAACTAAGCTAATACGCATGCAGTTCTCGGCATGGGGACTGGTACAGGAGTAGTGGCTCATATCACTGCTAGTTTCCTAATTATCCTTACAATCCATGGTTCCTCCTGCACTGGCCCCGGCAGGGAAAGATGGCGGCGCCCTCACTCCTCAGGAAGAGGCGGAGTCTCCTGACCCTCAGCATTCATCCCAGCCGGGATCAGGAAGCAGCGAGAAGTATGCGGCCCTCTGAGAAGTGGTGCCCGTCTCAGAGTTCTATTGCCCACCACTTGGTTCAGGTGAAACAAGAGGCTGCCAGACCCAGAGGGAGGCAGGGTGGCAAAGGTTCTACTCCAAACCTATGCGTGTCTCTAATCCTCCCATAACCCTCGTTAATCACGTGACCGAGAGGCAGGGGGAAATGGCTGTGTTGGCGGCAGCAGCACCCAGAGCACCGAGAAAGAAAGCAGCTGGCCCTGGAGGGCCTTGTGCCAGGCTCAGGGCCTGGAGGGACTCCGGCATTGATTGCAGCGGTAAATAAACAGAGCTGATGGCTGCACCGGGGGCCCATACCCTGCCAGAGAAGGGGCTGGGGGAGGAGGGATTCTTGTAATTACACTTGGTGTGGGCTCAGCCATCATGGGTTTACTGTGATCTGTCCCCAGATGGGAGCTCCAGAAACACCTGTTACGGCAGACGTCATTTGGCAAGCCAAACAAAACGTGGGTTCATCCAGGCCAACTGTAAAGGGATTTAATGCCTAACAACCTGTGCGAGGCTTCTAATTGTCATAATTAATTTGGCACCTCTTCACTGGTAGGTGCTAAACAAGTATCATATTGTACTGGGAAAGCCCATTTCCTGCTAACATGGTTTTTCCCTCCATAATTAAAGCTGTGAGAAATTGTGTCATTTGAAAAAACTTAACACCACATTTTCCTCACTGAACTGTTTTAAGTTCCTCTTCTTCTGGCCCTCTCTCCTCACTCTTGGTATGAACATCTTACTTTCTTTGGCTTATCCACTTGCTGCTTCCCTGTTGCATAATTTAGACTATAATTATTTTCTCATTTTCCCCTCCAGCTGGCATTAGTTTGGTCCCTTCCACCTCGTATTTCCTTAAAATGTCACACTGTTGCCCTAGCTTGTTTAAACACTCTGGAAAGCCAGGAAATGTAGCTGTTGTAGGCACATCCACATCCCTCGGAAAAGTGTCCCTGCTGCCTTTCCATGTGCCACAGCGGGCAGGACCAGAATCCAGCAAGCTAACAACAAACAGATGAGTGCCACTGTAAAGAAAAAATATTAAAACAATGTGGCTTCTGCTACTTTAAAACAAACAAACAAAAACAAAGTGATGTCATATGAGAGAATTCACTTTGCAAGGGGAAACAAAGCAAAAACCAGGAATAACGGTAGTGTCCCACATATCAGGCTCTCATTGATCTCCGTATGGCCAGCTGATATCCCAGGCCAGTTCCACCGGTTAGGGCTCCCCCAAACCAGAGGCTTTTGAAAAAAGTTTCTTATTCTGTTTCTGCATCTGTCACTCCTAAAAGATACAGTGATCCAAAGCTTATCACTAGAAGACTGGGAGAGGGGGGATGAGGGACAGAGAAGCAGTGACCAAAAACTTTACAATAAACTGATCAGTACTTTTATGTCTGAAAAAGTGGAAGACAGGGATCCATTCTTCTTTGGGAACCTGGGTGGCTCAGTCAGTTAAGCGTGGCTTCAGCTCAGGTCATGATCTCGTGGTTAGTGAGTCTGAGCCCAGCATGGGGCTCTGTGCTGACAGCTCAGAGCCTGGAGCCTGCTTCAGATTCTGTGTCTCCCTCTCTCTCTCTGCCCCTCTTCTGCTCATGCTCTCTCTCTCTCTCTCTCTCTCTCTCTCTCTCTCTCTCAAAGTTAAACAAACATTAAAGAAGTTCTCTTTTAAGTTTCTTTTGATTCCCGATAGAGTACATTATCAGTATACTTGAATTATTCACATGAAAACTAATCAGTATCAGCTTCTCTGTATTCTGTAAGGAACTTAACTCATAAAATGAATCATCTTGAATATTTTCTAAACACAAAATCACAATTTATGAATATTAACCTTAAAAATGTACTTGAGAATGACTGCTCCAATAAATTAGAATTTTTTTCAAAGAACAGATCACAAGGAATTCCACTCTTTCCCCAGAATTTCTGTAACTTTGATGGAGAGACATATAGAAAATCTATTTTATGAAAATGATTTAAGAAATCAGTGTATATTTATCAGCCAAGAGCTTATATGGAGAATTTCTCAAGAAATCCAGAGATCAGATATCAGGATGCTACCCACTGCTTGCTGACAATGTCCTATAAGTTGAACATAGTAATACCTCAGTTTTACAGAGGGAAGAAATAAAGTACCAAAAGGCTTGAATGATTCACTTCTAGTGGGAAAAAAAAAGTTAAATACAAATGAAATGTGGTCCAGATAATCCTCAAATCCTCACACACATAAAACAACTTGTGTTTGTTTTAAGAGAAAGACCATGTCCATTCTGTTCTCCTTTCTCTTCAACAACTAATTTTTATTTTTAAATAATAAAATTATATGTCTTGTAAATTAATATTTATTTTTACAGATAATGACCACTATGAATATCACTTAAATCTGCAACTATTTTTTTTTATTAACTTTGTTTTTTGCATTACAGAGGCAATACTTTTAGGGATAAGATAGATATTCTAATTCAACATGAATCTTCTTAAGTCCTAAAAACTTAACAAAGGAATTGTGTTAGGAATCTTTGGGGTGCAAGCCATAAAAATCCAACTCAACTGACTTAGGCCAAAGGAGATTTTATTGGGAGGATATCACAGTATTTTCATGTGGGATTCAGGGCTGGGATTTTATGCAGCTCAACCCCAGGGACAAGGAAAATTGGCTCTTTCCCTCACTTTTGTGCACTCTGGTTCAGTTTCAACCTCCTTCACTAGAGCTGGCACTTTCTCACATGGTGGTCACCAGCAGCCTCCAAGCCCCCCACCCCATGGCCTCTACCATCAGGCAATACTCATCCACTTCTTTTGTTTTATTTCAAAAGCTCCTAGGACAAGCTGATCAATCTGCCTTGATCTGGGTGACTCTATCCAGGGAGGTGGGGCATCTGTATTGGCAGACTCTACCCTAAGGGTATGGTTAGAATCTAGGTGGACATAATTATCAAATAAAAAAGAGGCAGGGGGGGCGCCTGGGTGGCGCAGTCGGTTAAGCGTCCGACTTCAGCCAGGTCACGATCTCGCGGTCCGTGAGTTCGAGCCCCGCGTCAGGCTCTGGGCTGATGGCTCAGAGCCTGGAGCCTGTTTCCGATTCTGTGTCTCCCTCTCTCTCTGCCCCTCCCCCGTTCATGCTCTGTCTCTCTCTGTCCCAAAAATAAATAAACGTTGAAAAAAAAAATTTTTTAAAAAGAGGCAAGGGAAGATACTGAGAGCTAATTGGACAGACAAACCAAGAATAATCAAGTAAAACAAAAACTTGCATGGATTCTAAAAGTTCAGGTAACGACAGAAAGTTGAGGTGGCACAAGACAGAATGCTAGAAATTGGCCTTAGGCATTCTTCAATATATTTTTCTTGCATTTCTATTTCCCAGTCAAAACTATGAATATATAACTCTTAAACTTGATAACACACCATTTTCTCTCTCCTTTCTCTCAAAGCGTCAGAATTGTTTTGGAGTCGTGTTACTTTTCGGGTTCAGATCTTCAAGTGTGCATATTCTTCTTTCAGGGTCACAACGTTCTCCTCAGGGCTTTGAGATTCGGATACAGTTTACAGATACCCTTTTTCAACTGCGACATTTTCGTGTTTAAATCCAGGAAAGTTCTGGCCAGCTGGCGGTTTGGGAAATGCATTTCCAGCTAAAAGTTAGAAAAAGAATAAGGATTTTTATTAGCCTGAGATAACGGATCAAATGAAACTGCTTTCCGCACAGGAAAAATAAGGACTTTGTAGGAAAGGAAAATAAGATATCAAGAAAGATGTATTTCTCATCTTATTCTCCATTTCTGACTGTTTGGCCTGGCTATAAAACTGACTTTCTATGCGACAAGGTAAAATCCAGATATACAAATAGCTTTTGAAATGGCCTTGAAATGAAAACAAAAATAGCTGACGCACAAAGCTGTCCATATGAAAAATTCCTGTGCACGGAAGGCTGTTTTCAAGCAATGGCGTGTGATCTGCAATGAAATCATTTATCTTTATGAGCTTTCTGAGCCACAGGATAGCTGCCCAGGGCCACCTTAGCTCTCAGGACCTGGGCCCATTTACTTGGGTACTTGTCATTTCAAGTTTTTAGGATTTTAAATGGTCACCCTGCTGAGCAAAACCATTTAACGACACCTTAGAGGCACATGTGCAGTTATATGTACTTATATAATCTAACAATTTTCACTCTAGAGTGAAATCTGTTATACAGCAAGACTGATTTATACCCTCCTCCAGTGGGGGTTTATGAAGGTCCTCATGTATTAAAAAATAAATCTCTAGGGCAGTTTACCTATAAGACTGCCCAACAAAGCTTAGTCCAACATAATCTTTATTTTGTGGTTGAAAACTAATAATTAAATGTTTGCAAATTTCTTCAATTAGGGCCTTATTTAATACAGGAGGACCCTGTTCTCGGCTTAAAACCCTCAGCAACTCACCAACAGAACCACCCCAGGACAAACCAGCGTGTTCCATTAGTAAAAAGCAAATACTGGTCTCCCCCACCCCAATTTGCAAAGCAAAATCATTGGATAAAAATTTTTTTCAGTTTCCTCTGCCACGGTTTTTTGTTTTTTGTTTTTTTTATTCTTCAGCACCTGGAACCACTTTTCTGATAGCGAGAGAATTCACAAAGGACAAAGTAAATGAACATATAGCACGCTAAGAGTAACACAGTGAGCCACACAGAAAGCCCCTGCCCCTTGTCTCCAGGGAGCCTCAGTTCTCCAGTACCGCACAGGTGCTCTCCAGTCCTGCCCTAGTCTTCTAGCTTCATTTCCCGCACTTGTCTCCACACCAGCCCCCACTGCAGCTGGTCAGAAGCGCACCTTATGCACATACATAATTTGCCTACAATTTTAGGTATATGGAACTCCCAAAATTCAGAGCCTAGAAATCAATGCATCCTAAGAAGACCAAACAACAAATAATAGCATAACTGACAAATAGCAACACGTCTCTAAATTAACTGAACCTGTTCACCATTGTTCCTTACACAAATACCACCCTAACACATGACACATGGACATATGCATATGGTTGTGTGTAGATTCCTACAGAAATCTGGTAACAGCCTTTTATCAGAAACTGCTTCTTCTAGTGGTGATGGTGTTAAGGTAAAGCAACGAAACCCTTTTGCCTCTTCCTCATGACCAGTCATACACCTTGGTGAAATGGTTGATCAAGATGTTGACCATGGTCTAGAACCCAAGAACAGAATATCTGTGTATGTGTGAAAATTGCTGGCGTCTTTCTGGGAAAAAAAAAAAAAAAAACCTTGATCTTTCATACCTGTGTATTTGTCATTCTGTGTTTTGTTTTTGTTTTCTTGGTACCGTTTCCAATGTCTATAATAATAATTATGATAATAAAGAGGCTCCTGGGTGGCTCAGTAGGTTGAGTGTCAGACTTAGGCTCAGGTCATGATCTCGCAGTTCGTGAGTTCGAGCCCTGCGACGGGCTCTGTGCTGACAGCTCAGAGCCTGGAGCCTGCTTCCGATTCTGTGCCTCCCTCTATCTTCCCCTTTCCCGCTCTTACTCTCTCTGTGTCTCTCAAAAAATGAATAAACGTTAAAATTTTTTTTAAAAATAATAATCATAATAGCTGCTGAATAGTGCCTATGTTCTAGATGCTTATATAACATTATCTCATATAATCCTAATGGCAGTCCTATGAGGTTATTATCTCTATTTTATATACAAGTAAACTGAAACCCAAAGTTGCTCATTACCATTCCTGAAGTCCTAGACCCAGTAGGAACTAGAAGAGCATGTAAATGTTAATGCTGGGATTTGAACCCTCATCTGTTTGGAATTTTATTCTCCACCTCCTCCCCACCCCCACAGGGAGCTTTCCATATGGCAGAAAAATATAGAACAAGTTGGAGGGGTTGGTCACTGGGGTCTTGGGTGTGTCTCTAGTAGACTCCGCCCCGGGCAGGTGCCATCACCCCGGGTCCCGAAGGCCCTCCTCGCTCCAGGCTGCCCCTGGGAGGTAGGTGCGTGAGCACCGAGTCGGGACGGGAGCCGGGGGCCGGCGCCAGAAGACCGACGGCCAGTGCCCAGCTCGACCTCGCTGCGCGCTCTCATCTCTTCCTCTCCGGGAAAAGCTCCCCGCAGCCTCTCAAGTCCTCAAACGGACCACAAGGCTCTGGTGCCCGAGGGGAGGAGGAAGGCGACGGTGTCCCCGAGAGCCGGTGGCACACGCGCGCTCTCACCAGCTCGGCTCGCAGCCCGGCCAGGGCGCTCTAGACGCTCGGGTCTCTGCTCCTCCTGCGCCTCCGCTTCCGCCTCCGCCGGGGGGCGCCGGGAGCCCCCTCGCGGCACAGCCAGCTGGAAGGCGCCCGCCAGCCGCCGCCTGAGGTCTTCCGGCAGCCGGCATGGGGGCGACGGGGGCCTCCTCCTGGCCGTCCGTGCGCTTGCTGCCCCCGGGGGAGCCGCGCGTCGGGCAAGGGCCTCGGGGCCAAAGCCCAACACTGACTGGGACTCCGTGGGGTCCCCGGGAAGTCGCTTCTCTGCGGCTGCCGGAGTCCCCGGGGCCCATTCCAGAGGCGGCGGGGCCCATTCCAGGCATGTATTGCTAACCGTTGGTTTCCAAGTGCGAGAATTAGGGCGGGTGAGGGCGGGGACGGGGGTAACTAACAGAACCGACGGGACCGCTGGCAAGTGGGACGCCGCTGTCGCTCAGCCCCTCGGAGGCGCTTCCTTTCTCCCAGACTCATCTCTGGCCTTCCTCCCATTTTAGCGGCAATCGGAGGAGGTGGTTCCCCGTAACTCCGCGAAGAGGTTGCAACTGGATCACTTCTTGCTCCTTGGAGTGTCTAAGAGGAAGACTTGTATCTCTCCAGGTAGGTGGAAGTTGAGTTGCAGACGGAAGGTTTGGGACCAAACGTAGAATATCTTGCCACAAAGTCTGCCCCAGTTGCCTTGATTACTGAATACTCCATTCCTATAAAATATGTTTTTCTGACTTTTCTCCTGTCGGTTAGGCACTGTGGCCTGGTGTTGGGGGTTTAAAGTCTAATTAGGCCCGTAACCTCTCCACAGGTGTTGCTCACAGTCTGGGAAGTTGTCTCTCTGAGTTAGTAAGAATAGCCTTTCCACGTGCCCAACAGTGCAGAAAGCACTTGATATTCAGAAACTCTGTGCTCCTTTTTATATTTTACTTTCTGCCGCTTTCACGAAGTTTATGAAGGGGCTGAAATGAACCATGAAAATTCCTCTTATCCCAACATGTGTTGTCTCATAGTTCCCAATTCAGTGTAACCATGTGCTAGTATGACTTGTATGTCCTCTTTCAATGAGCATAATCAACTGCCTCATTTTGATCTAATGGAGAATTTCTAAAAAGGAACAATCAAAACCTTTGTGTTTTCACGAACACATTCCCCCCACTCCCCTCCAAAAAATGTGGCAGAGATGTTCATACAGTACTCTTATCTTACTCATTTGTTCAGTAAAGATCTACAAGTCCCCTGCAACGATCGAGGTTCGTGGTAGGCATTGAAGACAATAAGAACTATTTTTATTAGTGCTTACGATGTGCCAGGCACTTCTCATGTACTCATTTATTCTTCACAACAGTCCTGTGAGGGAGGTACTGTTCGTTTCTGCATTTTACAGATGAGGCATCTAAGGCAGAGGTTAAGCTGTGTGCCAAAGATCGCAATGCTGGTTAAATGGTCTAGTGGGGGGGCGCCTGGGTGGCGCAGTCGGTTAAGCGTCCGACTTCAGCCAGGTCACGATCTCGCGGTCCGTGAGTTCGAGCCCCGCGTCGGGCTCTGGGCTGATGGCTCAGAGCCTGGAGCCTGTTTCCGATTCTGTGTCTCCCTCTCTCTCTGCCCCTCCCCCGTTCATGCTCTGTCTCTCTCTGTCCCAAAAATAAATAAAAACGTTGAAAAAAAAATTGTTTTTAAATAAATTAAAAAAATAAATGGTCTAGTGGGGATTTGCACCTAGGAAGGCTGCTTTGTGCTGTAAACCACTGGACCACACCTAGGTATGCACACTGCCTCCTCAAGAGGGAAAAGTAGTTGCTCAATTTATATGTTGCATGTGGTTTTCAAACTCCCTATGCTCATAAAATTCAGCTCTACTAAAATGGTTTAAGGCTTTGACTAGATAAGGAGGAATTCAGATTACCAAATTAGCCTCTGCGGCTAATTTGCCAAATTCAACATCTTACCAATAGTTTACAATCTAAGCACAAATACCTATCATTGTATGTTGTTTCGTAAAGATTCTCGAGAAATATTCGAAGATGGGTTCTAGTGATGGGGATTGTGAAAATCCTTAAGGTCTGTGAGGAACCGACAGAGTATATAAATTTAGGGTATTTTTGTTTGGTGGGTTTTTTGTTTGTTATGGTGATAGGAAGTGGGGCTTGAAAATAAGCACTGGTCAATGTACAGTATAAATGTTTAAAATGAGTTTTCTGCCATGATTTTTCACTTCTGTTTCCAGATCATTTACTTCAACAAGAACTTCAGGTAAGTTTGACTTACTTCAACAGCAAACGGGGCCTATTTGTTCAGTGTTAAGTATTGTACCATGAATAAGACACAGATTTTACCCTCCAGAAGCTAAAACCTGGAGGAGCAAATTCATTTATTAATTCTGCAATATTTAATCAATGTCTTATTATATACCAGGCATTATACAAGGTGCTCAGGCTGGAAAGGTAAACCAGAAAGACAAAATGGTATTTTAAAATAGACTGGAGTTATCAAAAATTAATAATTTCCTTCCATAGATTGATTTTTTTCAGCTACAGTGTATCTTGAATTTTACAATTTTTTTGGTAGAAGTGAATTGAAGCATTGGTGAATTAGAGTGACTATAACATGTAGAGACATTTTAGTTAGGAAATGTAGTTATCCGTTGCTGTATTACAAATCACCCCCAAATTTATTGGCTTAAAACAACAATAAATGTTTATTATCTCTCACATTTTCTGTGAGAAGAATTTGAAAAAAGCTAAGGTTATGATCTGAGACTTTCATAGCATGGTAGTCAAATGTCACCAAAACTGGTCATTTGAAGCTGGATGTGATTGGGGTTGGTGGATGATCTATGTGGAAGATGTATCACTCGCATGGCAGGCATTGGTGCTGATGGTGAGCAGGTGACCTCATTCCTCTCCTTGGGAACCCTTTCCCAGAACTGCTTGAGTATCCTCATACTATGGTGCCCACCCTCCCTTAGAACAAGACAGAGAGATCAAGAATAAGCCAGATAGAAGCTCTTTGTTTCCTGAACTACATTTTTATGACTAGTCTTAGAAGTTACACGTATTCACTTCCACCACTGTTCATTCTGTTTATTAGAATAAAGTCTTTAAGTCTGGACTACATTCAAATGGAGGGAAATTAGGCTCCACCTTTTCAAGTCTCAAAAACTTTGCAGATATATTTTTAATTTTCCATGGGAAAAATATATGCAAACGATTCAAATGACTGCTGACTTCCTGTTAGAAAAATTGAAAGCTAGAAGATATTAAGACAATATTTTTTTATATTTAGAAAGGAAAAATTTGGGCTACCTGGGTGACTCAGTTGGTTGAGCATCCAACTCTTGATTTCAGCTCAGGTCATGATCCCAGGGTCATGGGATCGAGCCCTGTCTTGGGCTTAATGCTGAGTGTGGAGCCTGCTTCAGATTCTCTCTCTCTCTCTCTCTCAAAAAGAAGGGGTGCCTGGGTGACTCAGTTGATTAAGCATCCGACTTCGGCTCAGGTCATGATCTTGCAGTTTGTGAGTTCGAGCCCCACATTGGGCTCTGTGCTGTACAGCTCAGAACCTGGAGCCTGGTTCCAATTCTGTGTCTCCCTCTCTCTACCCCTCCCCTGTTCATGCTCTGTCTCTTAATAATTAAATGTTAAAAAAAATTTTTTTAAAGAAAAAAGGAAAGATTTAACAGATATTTTTATATCCAGCAAAAATATCCTTCAAAGGCAAAATAAACATGTTTTGATGTAGCAGAAAACTAAGAAAATTTCTTACCAGTCTAAGTGAAGGAAACACCCCAGGCTGAAGTAAAATGATAGGAGAGGAAAACTTAGACCTTTACAAAGGAATGAGGAGCATAAGAAATTATAAATGTCTGTGTATATATATAAATGACTTTCATTCCTGTTTTTCAAAAAATATATGACTTTACATCCAACGTTGGGCTCAGACTTATGACCCCAAGATCAAGGGTCACATGTTCCATCAATTGAGCTAGCCAGCCAAATTATGAAAACAGCCCATGTCCATCAATTGCTGAATGGATAAAGAAGTTGTGAGATATATAGATAGATAGATTAGATATAGATATAGATATAGATATAGATATAGATATAGATATAGATATAGATATTATGGATATAGATCTCTCTGTATATGTATGTGTGTCTATATATGTATGTATATATGTATCTATATACATATATATGTGTATATATGTAGATATAGATATACATGTACAATGGAATATTACTCAGCCATAAACAAGAATGAAATCTTACCATTTGCAATGAAGTAGACAGAGCTAGAGAGAACTAAGTGAAATAAGTCAGTGAGAGAAAGACAAATACCATATGATTTCACTCATATGTGGAATTTAAGAAACAAAACAATGGGCAAGGGGAAAACAAGAGGGAAGGGGGCAAACAAAGAAATAGGCTCTTAATTATAAAGAACAAACCGATGGTTACCTCTTGAGGATAAATGGAGCTATGTATTTTATGTGAAGTGGTATGGTATTGATCCTATGTGCACTGTAAAACATTAAGAGCATATATTTTATAGTCTAGAGCAACCACCAAAAAATAGTGCAAAGAGTTACAGCTAAAATACTGATAGAATGGGTATCTGTGTAGAAAATTTAAAAAAATCAACAGAAAAACTTTTGGAACTAAGAAGCAGTTACATCAAGTTGGCAGGATACAAGTAGAATATACAAAAGTTAATCACTTTCCTATATACCAGCAATGAACAAGTGGAATTTGAAATGTAAAGCACACATTACCACTTACATTAGCACCAAAAAAAAAAAAAAAAGAGAGAGAGAGAGAGAGAAATACTTAGGTATAAATCTAACAAAATATGTACAAGATCTATATCAGAAAAACTACAAAACTGAAAAAATGAAACTTAGCTAAATAAATGGAGAGATATTCCATGTTCCTGGACAGGAATACTCAATATTGACAAGATGCCAGTTCTTCGAACTTTATCTATAGATTCAATGCAATACCAAACAAAATCTCAGCAAATTATTTTGTACATTCCAACAAACTGGTCCTAAGTTTATATAGAATTTCAGAATACCCAGAATAGCCAACATAATATTAAAGAGAAGAGCATAATTTGAAGACTTATACTACCTGACTATAAGACTTAATATAAAGCTACAGTAATCAAAAGAGTGTGGTATTGACAAAAGAATGGACATATGGATCAGTGGGACAGAACAGAGAGCCCATAAATACATCCACATAAATACAGGCAGCTGATCTTTGACAAAAGAGGAAAGACAACACAATGGAGAAAATGCAGTCTTTTCAATAAATAGTCATGGAACAACTGGACTTCCATATGCCAAAAAGAAGAAAAAAAAGAATCTAGACCTAGACTTACAACCTTCACAAAAATTAATTCAAAATGAATCATAGTCCTAAATGTAAAATGCAAACTATACTACTTTTAGAAGATAAAAGAAAATTTAGATGACTTTGGATATAGTGATGATTTTTTAGATATAATATCAAAGGCACAATCCATAAAAGAAATACTAACCTGAACTTCATTAAAATTAAAGAAACTTCTGCTTTGTGAAACACACTATCAAGAAAATGAGAAGACAAGCCACAGACTGGGAGAAAATATTTGCAAAATATGTATCTGATAAAAGTCTGTGATCCAAAATATGCAAATCACTCTTAAAATTCAACAATAAAAAAATAACCCAGTTAAAAAGTGGGTAAAAGACCTGGGCACCTCATCAAAGATACACAGAAAACAAGCATATAAGAAGATGCTCATTGCATGTCATTATGGAATTGCAAATTAAAACAGAATTGAGATATCAATATCCACTGATTAGAATGGCCAAAATCAAAAACACTGACAACACCAAATGTTGGCAACCATGTGGTACAATAGGGACCTTCATTCATTGATGCTGGGAATGCAAAATGGTAAAGCCACTTGGGAAAATAGTTTGGCAATTTCCTACAAAACTGAGTGTACTCTTACCAAATAATCCACCAATAATGCTCCTTAGTATTTGTATGAAGAAGTTAAAAATACATCCACACAAAAACCTGAACATAAATGTTTTTAGCAGCTTTCTTCATAATTGCCAATATTTGCGAACAGCCAAGATATCATATAGTAGGTAGAGGACAAATTGTGGTACACTCAGGTAATGGAATATTATTCAGCTAAAAAGAAATGAGCTATCAAGCCATGAAAAGACATAGAGGAACCTTAAATGCATATTGCTAATTGAAAGAACCCAATCTGAAAAGGGTGTGTACTGTATAATTCCAATTCTATAACATTCTGGAAAAGGCAAAATTATGGAGACAGTAAACAGATCAGTGGTTGCAGGAGTTGGAGGGGGAGGGATGACTAGGCAGAGCATATTGACTTTTAGGGCAGTGAAACTATTCCGTATGATACTTCAATGGTGGATGTGTGTCATTATACCTTTGTCAAAATTCATAGAATGTATAACATCAAGAGTGAACCCTAATGTAAACCATGGGTTTTGGGTGATAATGATGTGTCAGTATAAGTTCATCAGTTGTAACAAATGTACCATTTTGGTGAAAGATGTTGATAGTGGGGAGTTTATGTAGCTGGAGAGAGGCAGGAGTACTGGAGACTCTTTGTACTTTTGGCTTAATTTGTGAATCTAAAACTGCTCTAAAAATAAAGTCTGTTTTTTTAAGCCATTAGGTAAACTAAAACAGTTTTCTAAAAACATTAAATTAATCCAAAATGAGGTAGGAAATGGGGTACAGAGAATCAAAACAGAAAGAGAACAAACATAAAACAAGTAAAATGATCTAAATTAGATCATATCAAAAATTACATTAAATATTAATGTACTAAATATTCCAACTAAAAGGTAGAGATGACAAAAGCAAGAAACAAATATATTCTTCCTAAAAGAGATGCAGTTTGTTTTTAATTACTTTTTTACAGGGGAGATGCACTTTAGATACAAAGATACAACTTCTGTGTCTTGTAAAGATAGAGTAACATGAACTAGATTTATCCTCAATTCTGAAACAACCAAGAAACACAAAATATATGATAGAACAGACTTTATGACACTGGGTATCAGGCAAAGAAGGACAGTGGTCCCTGAAGGAAGTTTTTGTGAGCATCCTTCTGAGCCTTGCTTACTGATTCCTCTCATCTTTGAGTTTTTTATATTTAGAATGTTTTCATGTTTTCTCCTTGTACCTCTCTTTTCTTTCTCTCCTCACTGCATA